CGCGGCGGACCTAAGGCTCGCGGCGGCCCCAGGACCAAAGGCGACCCTCGGGCTCCTGGGGCCTCCAAGCTCGCGGGGGGGTCCCGGGGCTCGTTCTGTCCGGAACCCCCGCGAGATTCGGCCGCCGCTCGTCTGAGAGATCGAGCCAGCCGCAGCGCGCGGTTTTTGCGCGCCTTCGCGGGCGTCGTGGTGGGCTCTCGCTCCAGGGCGTGTTCGTCTGGCCGCGTTTATTTATTTTCATTCATTTATTCATGTAGTCACCTTTTGTACCGCTTGGGACACAGCTGTGTTAAAATAGGAAAGCAGTTTGACTTAGAGGCGCTCCTGGCAAGACCGATTTCGCGCTCTGGGAAGAGCGAGCGTGCACGGTGCCGCCTCGCGTTTGAGCAGCGCTGTGCGGGTCTGCGCGCTTCCCACGGCCTCTCCGGCCCCCGGCGCCCTGGGCCCTTGAGGTGTGAGCACCTGCTACGGCTCGGCGCCGTCTCCGTAGGCAGAGCCGATGTTCCCCATCCTTTCTCTTCCGTGGCAGAGATGGGTGGGGGAGGAGGAAGGACCCCAACTCTTGAGAGTTTTGCGTTTAAAGATTTGACGAATTTGCGAGTTGATTGTGATAGTGTCTTCAGATTGAGATGGAGTTGTTTTGTATTTTAGCACAGAGCTACATACCCTCCCTCGCCCCGATCCCTTTTTAAATTTTTATTTTGAGACGAAGTGCCTCCCACAGTCCAGGGATTACTGGCATTCGCCTCCACACCCCGCTGAGAGGTAGATTTTGCGGCTTTTGTGGTAGTCGAGTTTGGTCGACAGCTTCGCAGTTTTACTGTGAATGCATTATGAGGAGGAAAGTAAAGCTGTAGGGGAGAAAGTAAAGCTGTAGTTGCTGTAGAGAAGTCCTCGCGTACTGGCAGATGTCAGAGTCAGAAAAACTGAAAAATATGGGGATCCTGTAAAGTGAGGGAAATTTTAGTGTGTGCTCCAGGGAACCTCCGGGTTGTTTCATAGAAAAGACTCTAACTTTGGAGCAAATGCTGGACGGTGGCTGCTTTATCCTGCGTTTGGTGGACTTTATTAGGCTCTAAAATTGGATATGGACAGTGGAAGGCTTACTTCTGAGAGTTCTGCCAGAAGATTTAGAAAGTGATTGGTTGCATTAACACATGCTTTTGTTTCTTTAAAAATTGGAGGTTGAGTGTGTGTGTGGGGGGGGCGGTGTAGCTTAGTGGTGGAGCACTTTCTGGCATGTGAAAGGTCCTGAGGGCCCTAGAAAAAAATTTTTTTGAGTGGCGTAGGTGTCTGGGTAACATAGGGTAGCAAGATCCTGGCACAGTCATCCAACCAGTATAACATTTGGAGTGGAAAAGCTTCTAAATATTATAATGTCTTTTAAATTTTGTTTATGAAAATTATGTGAATACCTAAAGGGACAAATTGGAAGTTTACTCATTTACTGAGAGACCTTATTATTAATAGGTCTTATTATTATTATATATAGGTTTTATTTTATTATTATATATTATTATTATATATAGGTCTTATATTATTATATTAATAGACCTTATTATTAATAGGCATTATTAATAGCTTTACTAGCTCTAGCTTGAAAAATTTGTTGATATACAAAGCTTGCCTTAGTAATTTTTCAGTGGTGTTTTAAAATTTTCTTATGTTAAGTCTAAAGTGTATCATAGAGAACTGACAGAAAAGTCTAATGAAGATAATAGTTTTGCTACTCAGAGATAGCCACCTAAATAACCGTTGTCATATTTTGTTTGACTCTCAATATTAGCGTTATAATCCTGTTTTGAGTCCTTTCCCCCTCTTTAATATTATTTCACAAGCATTTCTAATATCGAAACATCTTTGTTGAAAACATGCTTCTCATTGGTTATATACTATTACATCTCGGGCAAATACCTCAATTTGCCTAATCTTTTATTTAACCTCTTTGCTTATATTACTAGGTAGTTTCTAATGTTATATTTTTTCTTATGAAGATTTGCCATTCAGAGTCACTCTTCAAACCGAACCTCACATTTTATGGATAAGAAAATAGAGGCAAAAGAGTTGATCTATTTGTTCCAAAGATCATACCTTTGTATAACTACAAAACTTGAATCAGAACCTTTCTTGTGTGGTTATGTGAACCCTACTTAGTACCCTTTTCATACCATCACACGCACTTGACATTAGCTAATCTTCTTCTGTTTTGTCCTCTTTGAAATAAATATGGGAATTTAAATTATGATGTAATGAAAACAAAATCTATGAGTGAAAACTTCAAGTATAAACATGTTCTTTTTCAGGCCAGCTTTAAGAAATAACGTTGTATAATGTGTTTTTCATATTCACTAAAATGGTTTGCTGAATTATTATTTTATATTTAGTTTATTTGTGGCTATTTCACTGCTTATGAGATTCAGATTGAATTTAATTTCTTTCCTAATAACGTTTACTTTTGTGCTTTATTTCTACATTATCAGTCATCGTAAATATTAATTTTAGAGAACAAGTTTAGAGATTCATGGTCACCACAAATATGGCCATGTAATCCCAATTTCATCGTTAAAAAGTTAAAAGCAATGCATTGTAGCATGGGACATATGATGATATTTCTTTAATTGAAATCAATTCATTACTCCACTGAAGAAATTTATTGCAGTATAAAATTAGAAGTACTAGCAATTGCATACATTTTTTCTGGTATTTTTGAGACCAGGCTTCACTGTGGAGTTCAGGCTGGACTTGAACTCACTTTGTAGCCCAGGCTGGCCTTGAACTCATGGTGATCCTCTGCTTCAGCCTCTCGAGTGCTGGGATTACAGGCATGCACCACCATACCAGGCTGCAATTGCCTGCTAAATAATGGATTTGCTAGCTAATGGGTAATGGTCACAAATTTAAAAATATTTAATGCAGTTCTTTTAACTAAAACGCGCTTTTAAAACAATCCATAATTTTATGAGGCAGCTTCTTCTGAAAACTGTTTATTATGGTACCTAATCAAACTTTCTCTTCGTTTATTATTAGATTATGTCGTTGTAGATGATGAAAATGACCATGATGTTAACACAGATGATGAGACAAAAGAGGATTCTGAAACAGAGAATTCTGTGAATACTGACAATTCTGGTGGTGCATTAAGGACACAATCAAATTTTGAAAACGACAATGAAAACTGTCAGCAACTATTAAAGTTGGCACACGGTAATTTTGTTAAATTTTCTCCTGGGGGAAATCTTACTGTCTAGAAAGGATCCCTTTTTCTAGTAAATCATTTAAATATTTCTATAACCTTTATATCAATTAGTTATGAAAAGAGCTGAGCTTTGTGGTACTATTACAATGCTATCTTGTGTTTGTACTTTCCCTTTACTTTAGCTAAGGAATGTCCTACTTTGTCCTTTTTAGTCTATGGGGAATAGACTCAAAGTGTTGGGGAAAATTGTCTCTGAAAAATTGTTTCTATCTGGCAACTATAATTATAACTACTTGGTGGCAAAATAAAATTGGAAAGCTAAAATTGAACTTAGAAAGATCAACTTGAGTCAAGGGTCCATGGAGCAGATAACATGATTTTGTATGAAGAAAATTTCAAAGAGGCTGAGGCAGGCGGATCGTTGTGAGTTTGAGACCAGCCTGGGCTACAAAGTGAGTTCAAAGCCAGCCTGAACTGCATAGCAAGACCCTGTCTCAAAAAGACAAAAAAAAAAAAAAAAGAAAATATCAAGAATCAACAAAAATCTCCTGGAATGAATAAGTGACTATTAATTTGCAAGATATAAGATTAATATACAAAGTCAACCACTTTACTACATACTAGCAATAAACAATTGGAATTGGAATTTAAAAACACAATATCATTTACATTAGCATCCAGGTATCCACAGAGTGTGGAGTCTTGCAACCTGAACTACTATAGCTGCCTGTGTTTCTTCCCAACCACAGTGATGAAAGAAATGTCAGAAAGTTTGTGTCCAAGTTTATATAGGGAGCCAAGAGACAAAATATTCCCTCATTAACCATAGCCCAATTTGTTCTTTGTCCTTTACTTAAAGCATTGGGTTTCTTACTCTTCAAAATATAACTTAGGTTGGAGGTTGGCAAATATTTTTTTTAAAAAGGGCCATGGTACATATTTCAGGCTTTGTAGTCCATTAGTGTTACATGTTTAACTCTGCCATTATAGTGATGAGAGCCATTACAGTAGTTCAACATTAAGTAAACATTATGGAGAGAAAAATTTGAATGTCCTATCATTTTCCCATTTCATGAAATAATTCTTTCTTAAAAATTATTTAAAAACTTAAAACATTTTTAGCTTGTGGGCTATACAAAGCAAAACAAAATACCGCACAGGCACCAAGGTGATCTGGTGCCCAGATTGTGTTTTGCTGATCTCTGATCTAATTGATGTCAAAAGTTGATTTGATACTACTTACCTGTTCTGGTTTTAAAACGCTTCACTGACTCTAACAGCCTGCTTTAGTGGGAAAGAACTAAATCCATGTTTCTACTTCTAGGAATTTATCCTATAAACTACTTGCGGAAGTGCAAGACTGTTCAGCAACATTATTTGCTTACCTTTCCAGTAAGGGACCACTGAACTATATCCAAGTTGCTTTTTATTTTTTTGAGACAGGGTCTCACTAAGTTGCCCAGGCTGGCCTCAAAATTGCAATTCTTCTGCCTCAGCTTCCTGAGAAACTGAGATAACAGGCATGTGCCATTGTGTCAACTTAGTGTGGTTTTGATTTGTATTCCCTTAATGACTAATGATATCGAACATATTTTCATGTGTTTATTGGTCATTTGGATTTTTTTGGAGAAATGTTTATTTATAAAGTTCTTTGCTTATTTTTGAGTTAGATTATTTTTTAAAAGTTTTGTTCTTTGTATCATAGAAATTAATCCTGTATAAGATATATGATTTAAAGATATTTCTGCCATTCTGTAGGTTGTCTTTTCTTTTTTGAGGGGGGGTATTATTAAGGATTAAACCCAGGACCTCATGCATGCTAGATAAGTGGTCTTCCGTTGAATTACATCCCAAGCCATCTTTTTGCATTTTTTAAAAAAAATTGAGACAGGGTCTCCCTAAGTTGCTAAGTTGCTGAGGCTGGGCTTGAATTTAAGATCCTCCTGCCTCAGCCTTCCAGTGTGCTGAGATTACAGGCATGTGCCACCACACCCAGCTCTTTCTGCATTCTTGACAGTGTCCATTGATGTATAAAATTTCTTAATGTTTATGAAGCCCAGTTTAACTATTCTTTTATTGCCTGTGCTTATGGTGTTCTGTCCATGAAATTATTCCCAAATCCAATGTCATAAAGGTTTTCCTTAGTATTTTCTTCTAAGTTTTACAGTTTTAGATATTACATTAAATCTTTGATCCACTGTGAATTAAAAAAATTATATATAAATAAAGGTCTAACTTCATTCTTTTGCATGTGGATATCCAGTTTCCCTGGCACCATATGTTGAAAAGATTATCCTTTGACCATTGAATGGTCTCAGCACCCTTGTTGAAAATCAGTGAAGGGTTTATTTCATGTCTCTCTGTTTTATTTCATTGGTCTATATGTATGTTTTTATGCCAGTACCACACTGTTTTGATTACTTCAGCTTTGTAGTAAGTCACAAAATCAAGAAGTATTAATCCTCCAGTCTTATTGTTTTTAAAAGACTATTTTGGATACTAAGAATCCCTTCCAATTTAATATAAATTTGAGGATTGGTTTTTCCATTTTGGTTGGAAAACAGTGTTGGAATTTTGATAGCAATTAGTTGAATCTGTAGATTGTTTTGGTCTTAAAAACAGTAAGTCTTCCTATCTGTAAGCATAGTTTGTGTTTCCATCTAGTTAGTTCTTTAATTTCTTTTAGCAATGTTTTTTAGTTTTCAATTTACAATTCTTTCACCACTTTGGTTAGATTTATTCCTAAGTATTTAATTCTTTTAGATGCTATTATAAATGAAATTGCTTTCTGAGTTTCCCTTTTGATTATTTATTGCTGGTGTATAGAAACACAGCTGAATTTTGTGTGTCGATCTTGTACCTTGCAAGTTTGCTGACTTGGTATATTGGCTCTAGTAACTTTCTTGTGGATTCTTTTGGCTTTTTGATATACAGGATCATGTCACCTGTGAAGAGAGATAGTTTTACCTCCTCTTTGCAAGTTGGTTGCCTTTTGCTTCTTTTTCTTGCCCAAATACCTCTAAATAGAACTTTCAGTTCAACACTTTCAGTGTTGAATAGCAGCAATGTAAGCAGAGACCCTTTTCTTGTTTCTGATCTTAGGGAGAAAGCTTTCAGTCTTTCATCATTGAGCATGATGTTAGCTGTGGGTTTTCTGTAAATATCCTTTATTAGGTTGTGAAAATTTCCTTCTATTTCTAGTTTTCTGAATTTTTTTTTTTTACTGTGAGATAGTATTGGATCTTGTCAAATGCCTTATCTGTATGGATTGAGGTGATAATGTGTCTTCCCATTCATTCTCGTAATGTAATATATTACATTGATTTTTTTCTGTTGCAGCATCCTTACATTCCTGGGACAAACCCCACTTGCTTATGGTGAATAATAATTTTAGTTTCTTGGATTAGGTTTGTTGAGCATTTTTGCATCTATATTCATAAGAGATATTGTTCTGTAATTTTCTTTTCTTGTGATATTTATCTGAGTTTGGTATCAGGGTAATTCTGGTGTTGCAAGATGAGTAAAGAAATGTTATTTCCTCTCCAAGTTTTTGAAGTTTGAGAAAAGACTAGTGTTATTTCTTCTTTAAATGTTTCATAGAATCTACCAGTGAAGCCATCTCGTCCTGGCCTTTTCTTTTTGGGAGGTTATTACTGATCCAATCTCTTTCTCTTGTAATAGTTCTGGTGTGACTTTCTATTTTTCTATTTCTTCTTCTTTTGCATTTCTGATAATTGAACCCAGGGCCTCATGAATGCTAGGCAAGCATTCTATCACTGAGCTACATCCCCAAGCCAACCTATTTCTTCTCGATTCAGTTTATCTAATTACTTTTTTAAATTATAAGAACAAATAATTTTCTCATATACTATCATCAAGTGATTAGAAAATACATAGGACAAAATACCCAATTCATAATGGCTGTGAAACATCTAACACTTAAAAAAGTAAAGGTAGTAGAACCTGTATGAAAATAACTTGAATACTTTACTAAGGGTCATAAAATAAAGCTTGAATAAGTGGAGAGACACAAATTATTCTTTGGCATAGCTTTAAAAATCTTGAAAAAATCTATTTCAGGGATACATGTTGATTTACTACATCAAACAAAAAACAGTTTAAAGGTACAGTTATTAAATACTGTGGTACTAGTTCTGAAGTAGGAAGTCAGACTTAATGTGATAAGAAGTTCATTAAACAGAATAAAGAATTTAGAGCTAAAACACTATAGTACATTAATACATAAAAGATGGAGAGTAAATTGTGTGGTGACAAATGTTTAACTATTGAGGGAAGCCCATTAGATTTCATCTCACGTTGTACATGTAAATGATTTTAAGATGGGGTAAAAGGTTAAATAGCTAATAAGTGGAAGTATGGAAAAACTAGAAGAAAATGTAGGTGAATGTTTTTCTAATCCTAGTGAAAATTTCAGTATAAAAACAGATGAAAAAAGCACAAAAAAATTAATGAGTTTGGTGAAATGAAAGCAATAAATCTCTCACTGCTAAAACCATGAAACTTCAAAATAAACCATCACCTAAGAAATTATGTATTTGTAGGTGCAGTTATATATTTTGTAGCAATTATATATTTTATTATCCTTTTTTTGTGGTAGTGGGGATTGAACCCAAGGCCTTTGCTCTGAGCTACATCTTCAGCCCCTTATGAAATATTTCATTTTGAGACAGGGTCTTACCGCAGTGGCAAACAGAAACACCAAAAGGACACCCAGGATTTGGGGGCAGATTTATTTACATTGACAGGCACTGATCAGGATCATTCCCAAAATATCAGGCCCGGATCTCTGGTGGTCTAGGGCTTACATGGGATATGCAACCTGGAAGTAGAGAGGCAGAATGACTTGTCAATTGGGGATTGGTTCTTACAATATACATCATAGTGACCAGCCGCTTCTAGAAACAAAAGTAAAAGGAACTATAACTGGAACTATTACCTGGGCAACCAACAAACTGAATTAGACTGGCTGCGGTGGGGGGGGCATCTTCTTATAATTACTAAGTCACTAAGTTGTCCAGGCTGAACTCAAGCTTGAAGTTCTCCTGCCTCAACAGCTGAGTGTGTTTTTTGGAGGTGGGGCCTGGTTAGAGGCAGGTCACTGGAGGATGGCAAGGAAGGGTATATAGCATGACTGGAAAGATAGATTTCCCTCCCTGGCTTCTTCTCTCTCTGCTTCCTGGCTGCCATGACTTCAGTAACTTTTCTCCCTGGCAGGCCCTTTCACCATGCAGTTTCTGCACTTAAACCTTCCAACCATGGATTGAAACTTGTGAAACTGAGCTGAAATAAACCTCTTCTTTAAGTGTGGGTATCAGGCATTTTGGCCCAGCAATGAAGAGTTGACTAAGATAGGAGCTGAATTTTTTAGTTTTTTTTTTTTTTAATAGAAATCTATTGCAAGGAAAAATATGCACACATCATAAATATATAGCTTAAATAATTGTCAAATAAATACATGCAGATAATGAGCACCCATACCCACAAATAGAAGGTAATGAGTTTCCAGAAACTAGCCCAACCCCTTCAAGTTAATAATCCGCTTGCAAGGTAACCACATCTTCTCCTGTCATAACTTCGGCTTGTTTTTTTTAGCTTTATACGAATTGAATCATGTACTATATTCTCTTTTGTGTCTGGCTTTTACACAAGGTTATGGTTGTGAGGTTCATCCTTGCTGGAGGCAGCAGTGGTTGATTATTTGCATTTATGTAAGTCTTTGTATGAATACATCAGAGTTTATTACTCCTATATTAGCTTTATCATCAGAAAAATTGTATAGTTCAAAAAATAAAATTTGGTGAAAGTTACAGCTCAAATAGGAGGTATTTTACAACTTGAAACTTTTATACATTAGTCTGCATTTGTCTAGTGTAGGAGTGAACTCTCCCATCATCTTTATCCCCTGTTGATTTCTCTCCTTTGGGTCTTTGGTGGTCAGTACCTCCTCTGTGGAAGGAAGAGGAAGCAGGAAAGAGAGGAAACATAAATCTCTTCGTTGTGCCTCTCATTGCTGCTATGGGTCAAGATGGATAAAGCGGAGGCAATGTGGAACAGACTGCTATTGCACACTTGGAGTCATGCTGTCTGCCTGTCTTAGTCCCTTTCTCATCACTGGGACAAAATACTTGACATCTCAACTTAAAGGAAGAGAGGTTTATTTTGCTTTACAGTTTTAGGAGTTTCAGCACTTAGTTGGCTGGGTCTAAGGAAGAAAAGGCACGATAGAAGGGACTAGGTGGAAAAAAGCTGCTCACATCGCGGTGGCCAGGTAGCAGAGAGAGAAGGGAGGAGCCAGAGAGGGAAATATACCCGTCCAGGTCCTGTCCCCAGTGGCCCACCTCTAACCAGGCATAAATCGCTATGAATCAATCAGTGGATTAATCCATTGATGAATATAGCACCCTCATGAACCAATCACCTTCCATAAGTCCCACCCTGGAACACTTGAGGCCTTGAGGGGACACTTCAGGTGTAAACCACAGCATTGTTTAAGTGAAAAGCCCTTTTGATTCTCTTTCCAAAAGCAGTTAGTGCCGTGGTGGAGCATTCTGGGAGGCTGAGGCTTGAGGATCATAAGTTTGAGCCTAGCCTGAGCAAATTAGCAAGTTAGTGAAACTCTGTCTAAAAATAAAAAAGGTCTGGGGTTGTAGCTCAGTGCAAGGCCCTAAGTTCAATTTCCAACACAGCGGAGATGGGACAGAGGTGAAGCAGTTAGCAATTGTATTCTTTTGCTCAGTTCTTTCCTGCATTTATTCGGTAGACTAATTCTACAATTTGGAACTGCATTACTTGATTTTCGTTTCTGGTCACCGACAGTATAGCCTTTCAGTTTTAAAAGACTTATTCTAAATTGCTTATGGAAGAATTCTTGTTTTAGCCAGGCATGGTGGCACACACCTATAATCCCAGCACTTTGGGAGGCTGAGACAGGAGGATTGCAAATTCAAGCTGAGCATGGGCAATTTAGCAACTAAGGGAGAATTAAAAGAAATAAAATAAAAAAGGCTAGGGTTGTAGCTCAGTGCAAAAGCTCTGGTTTCAATCACCAGTACCACCAAAAGAAAAAAAATCTTCTTTTGTCACTTTCTGAAATTTAGACAGGACTCTATTTTGAGATGGCATTTTGAGAGCATATCCATAAAAGGTTCTTTAGATAGTAAGTGTGTGAAGTAAATTTTCTGTGTTGCTTTACAGGATTTGAAGGTGCAGAAGTCAAGCACGACCCACTAGTTTCACAAGTGAGCCAGCCAGCAAACTTAAAAAGATACATGTCTGAGTCTACAGAACAGTTTTGCTCATCCAACAAAAGAGGACGAACATCTCCTCCAAGACAGGATAATATATCTTCTCCAAGACAGGATAATATATCTCCTTCAAGACAGCAAAATACGGTTTGTATAGTAAAGTGAAAATATTTGATTTTTGTTCTTCTCATTCTGCTATAATTCTTTTGTTAAATTTAGCCAGGCATGGTGATGCGTGAGGCAGGAGGATCGTTGAGAGCTGGAAGCCAGCCTGGGTTACATAGTGTGTTCAAGGCCAGTCTAGACGACAGAGTAAGGTCCTAATCTTAATTTCATATATTGAAATGCACATAAATGTACATATAGTTCAATGAGTTTTGATAAATAATATATATCATGCCCCTGTCAAAGTAATGGACTTTTCTATTAGCTCAGAAATCTCCTTCATTCCTGTTCCAAATAAATCCTGGCCTTCTCAAGCCTTGATGAAAATATCATATATTTTTTTTCTATCTTAGGTTAATTTGGCCTGTTCCACAACTTCATGTAGTAGAATGGTAAAAAATAGAATTCTACTATACAAACATAATTGTACAAATAGAACATGTATAAATGAAATTGTGTGTTTTGGGTTATAGCCTCTTTATCTTAGAATAATATTCTGGAGATTCATTTTGTAATATCAATATTTCATTCCTGTTTATTGCTTAGTGGTACTCCCCTATTATGAGTAAAGCAGCTATGAACCTTTGTATGGAGGTCTTTTGGTGAGCATATGTTGACATTTAATTTAAATAAACACCCAGGAGTAGAAATATTGGGCCATGAGATAGATTAGAGGAGAACTTTTTTATTTTTAAAAAATACTTTTTAGTTTTATTATATATTTACAAAACATAATAATTACATTAATTGTGGAGAATTGGTACATATACATATTGCATCTTGGTAATATTTAATTACTTAACTTGTGCCCTCTTTTTACCCCTTTCCATAGACCCCCTTCCCATCTCCACATAGTATACCTTCCTGTTACCATCTCTTTTGTTTTGCTCTTTGTTTATGTTTCGGGTTTCTCATATAAAAGAAACCATGCAACATTTATCCTTGATTTTTATTGGCAGTATTGGGGGATTGAACCTAGGAACTTCACACTGAGCTACATCCCCAGGCCTTTTTATTTTTTATTTTGAGACAGGGTCTCACTAAACCATGAAATAACCCAAGTTGGGCTTAAACTTACTATCCTCTGCCTCAGCCTCCCAGTGTGCTGGGATTAAACGTGTGTGTCACCATGTCTGGCTGATATTTATCCTTCTGTGTCTGACTTTAAGTTATAAAGGTACAGTAATAAAAACAGCATGATACCGGCACAAAAATATACGTGTTCACCAGTGGAATAGAACTGAGGATACAAAAACAATCCCAAACACCTTCAGCCATCGATTTTTGGAAAAGGGGGCCAAAAACATATGCTGGAGAAGAGATAGCCTCTAATAAATGGTGCTGGGAAAACTGGTTATCTGCTTGCGGAAGAATGAATCTAGACCCATATTTTTTGCCCTATACTAAAATCATATCAAAGTAGATCAAAGGCTTGGATATAAAAACAGAAACACTGAATCTGTTGGAAGAAAAAAATTAGTAAAACTCTTGAAGACATAGGCATAGGTGAGGACTTCCTGAACAGAACCCAACTTATACAAGAAATAATACCAGATATCAACAAATAGGATTATATCATTTTAAAGTTTAACTTTTTAAGAAACTGCCTAAGAATTTTCTGAAGTGGTTGTACTGTTTTACAGTTTCATTATATTATGTTGTGTTGGGTCATCTTTGCAGTTGTATAAAATAGACTTAAACTATACATCATTAGGCTTAAAAGAAAATTCACTTATTTACTCAAATAAAGATGTGGATATTAGTGTCACATAAGTAGAACTGTATAGGTACTTCTCAACTTGTCAATCCCAATATTTTAATCTTTGAGGATAGTATTAATTATCTGTCAAGTGACATGGTTTTCAAAATAATTATCTGGAAACATTTTGGAAAGAATGAAGCACTGTACAAGGGTACGATGGTAATATTGTGTTTATTTTTTAAAAATTTTTTTGTGTTTATAATTATTAATCTACATTGCAGGTCCATATACTTTTGGCTGTGATAGGTGTGTAATACAGGGCTAATTTAGGTAAATTTTAATCATGGACATCGATAGCTACTTAGTATATTTTTATTGAAAGTATCCTTATAATGAACAGTTTACTCTTAGAATACAGTTGTTATAGTTAATTGTATTGCTTATGTGCTATTTACTTATTTATACCCTGTTCTTATTACACAAAAGTATGTAAAGTGCTTTACACATTAATTTATCAAGAAAAATAAGGTTTAAGTATTTCCTATCTTGTCCACAGAGTGTCACTGTTGGATTACTTAAAAATCAGAAGCCATGTAACATTTGGTTCTTTGTTCATGGTTAGGAATATTTGCTTTTAAAGCAGTGACATTACTGGAATGCTAGTCTTTGTACCCTGAAGTACAGAAAGGGGTAGGTGTCTTAATTGTAGTTGGGTAATGAGAACACAGTTCTACAAGTATATCTTTTGATGCTGCAGTATTTGTAATAGGCAAATGTTCTTTGATATAACAAGTAGGCCTTTGGTACTTCTTGAAAATGAAATAGAAATCCTGTACTTTTCTTTCAGTTCTTTTCTTTATATTTATTTTTGATTTGTTAATCATCCTTAGGTAAGAACATGAATACTATATCTGTTTGAGAAGAAGGTGAAAGTGTCATTAATAACTGTACCTTAGACTTTGAAGATTTACATAAATTGTTAAGTATGTTTACACTTATCGAGAAAATGATACAGGTTCTTTTTTAGCCTTCATATCCTCTATACTTGTTCTGAATTCATTCGTACTCAAAGAAATATTTCTGCCTCCTGAATGTATGTGCTTCTTTTCATTAGACAGTGAGCTCTTAACTATTTTGTTTCCTTCTTTCCTTACTTAATAGAAATTCACAGTACATTTTTATGGTGCTGGTGATTGAACCCAGGGCCTTGTGCATACTAGGCAAGTGCTCTATCACCGAGCTATATCTCTGTCACAATTCACAGTATTTTTGAACCCCATTTCACTGACTTTCTAATTTTGAAATAATTTGAGATTTTTGTGAAGAGTTACAAAAATATTATAGAGTTCTCATGTATATGCTTCACTTAGGTTCCCTTAATGTTAATTTAACTATATAACTCAAAATTATTTTAATTGTACAGTAATCTAAACTAGGAAGTTACCATTGGTACAGTACTACTTGGCAAACTACAGTCTTTGTTTGAATTTTGCCATTGCAATCTATCACAGCTCCTCATTCTTTCGTTGTCTTTTATGACCCTGGCACTTCTGATGAGTACTAGTTTGTTATTTTGTTAAAATAACTTTAATGTGTACAATACTTTCTCTCAATTTTGATGTGCACAATACTTTCTCTTGAATAGATTGAGATTATGCATTTTTTGCAAGAATTCTGTGCAAATGCTGTTATTTTCTCATTGAACCACACGAGGTGGTACATGGTATCCATTATCTTTTTACTGGTAATATTAACATCAATCACTTCATTAACATTGTGTCTTCCATATTTTTCCATTGTAGCATCACTGTTTTCTCCTTTCTAAATGATAGATATCTTAGGTGGAAGGGTACTTTGAGATTCCATTAATATCCTGTTTCTTTTCAATGCAGTGAGTTAAGTTAGCATCAGTCTATGTATTTTATCTGTAACAGTTGTTACTACATTTGCCTGATGATGAGTCTATTTCCATCATTTATTTTTTATTTATTAACTAGAATTCATCTGTAAGGAAGAGCTGTCATTTATTTCCTGCTTATTCAATCATATGTATTAATATGGACTCATAAACATTTACTGTCTTATATGAATTATAACCCAACATTTCCATTGTTTATTTTGTTGACTTAATTTCCCAGCTTTAGCCATTGGGTGTTCCTTCCAGTTTGTTGCTATGGCTTTTTGCTCTGCTCCTACGCTTTTATGAACATTTTCTTATTTTCTAACATCAGAAGATGTTCTAGGCTTATCTGAACTTTCCCTGTCCCAGCCCTGGAATTCAACTGTATTTCTGAAAGAATCCTGGTTTCTTTTTCAAACTTGAGAATGTTATTTAAAAACCAAGATGTGGATATTTGGTGTGTTGATTGCTGTTTTTGTGTCATTGATTTTTAACCTTCTCAGAGGACAAAAATCTGTATCCAAACCCATTCAAACACATAAATATGTATTTTTATATCTGGCTTTATTTATATTAAAAACTGTGTTCATACCAATATTCAGTAGCTTTTCTTAAACTTAGATTATTATATGATAACTACTTTTTAAATCCTTATTAATCAGTGCTCTTTTATTCTCATATGAATGTGGGCTTTGGTTTTCTTTATTTCTGTATTATTAGACATCTAAAATTTCTTGGCATATAAGTGAAAAGTAAAAACAATTAAAATATAGAACTATTTAAGGTGTTTTTTCTTGTGCTTAAATAGGCTCCTAGTGATGTGAAGTGTTGACCATTTGTTTCTATAATATTCACAGGGGAGAAGAATATTTGAACACTTCTATTATGAATACCACCGAGACCAACTCAGAATATTTCAGTGGTGTTTCCAGGTATCAAAGTTCTGTCTCTCAAATGTAATTTTTGAAATACAGAACTGAAATTTTCTTTATTACATTTAATGTCATTATACTATTAATAGAAAATTTTTGTTGAATTCTGTGTGATTATCATCTCACTGTAATATACTTCCAAAAAAATTTCTACTTGGAACAGTATACACAGGTGAATATTTGGAAATAAAAGTATCACTTTTGTAACTTCATTTTTTTTAAAGGAGGAAAAGTTTATTAAGCTCACAGCTTGTAGATGTTTCAGCCCATAGTTAGCTGGCTCCAAAGCAGGGTGGCACATGACTGGTAGAGGGGCAATAGCTCATGGTGGCCAAAAGGTGTCTTTCCCTCTCTTCCTGTTTTGCTACTTTTTGTAACTTTAAAAAAAGATCATAATCTAGATTGTTTGACATTTAATTTTTCCAATGTAATCTTTAATGAAAATTGGTTGCCTTAGATGAAATTTATCATATGCCTAAATATAGATCAAGGTATTTCAACTGAAACAAAATTGTAGCCCATCAGTGTTTTGTAAAGAGTATATCTAATGTAGTTTTGAGGGAATTGTGTAAAAATAAGTATGTTGGTAGAGACTGATAGAAGTATATAATTATCAAGGGTTTTATGATCTACATACCCCAAGGTAATGCAAAATGTTTCTTAACCTCTAAATTTTCGTGACTAGAACGAGCTAGCCTACTTTGAAGAGTAGAAGCATGTGTGTATGTTCTCATTCTTCCTAGTGAGGACAGAAGTGGGATGCTTAGTGGGACCACTCATGCCTGAGGGGAAGATGTGCAGAGGTGGCTGGAGCAGCAGGGAGATTTATACTCACCATCTCAACATCTGTCTTCCTGTTTTCTCTCTCTGGTTGGGAACATGCTATTTCTTTGGCCCTGTCTGCCCTTCCATGCATTTTTACCGGGTGAATGCCTTCTCTCCTTTCACTCTCAACCCAGACATCATCTTCTCTGAGAAGCCCTCCCTGACTGTCCGCCTGGGTTCAGTCCTGCACTTCTGGGCCTGCTTACCCTCCTGTGCTTACCTGTGTCATGGTGCTGAGGACAGTAACAGTAATAATACTAATAGAGTACTGAGCACTGTTGGACCACTCACGTTGGGTGTTGTTATTGTTACTATTAAAGTAAGGCTGCAGTAAACTTCCATCCCTAGGAGGACCCCTAAGAGATATTTTCATCCCAGTTCTGTGCATGAGGGGATTGAAGTGCAGGGAAGTCATGTAACTTGACCAAGGTCACACCACTAGTAAGTGGCAGAACTCTAGTATTTGAAGCCAGCCATGTAGATCCCGCACTGTTTGCCTCAGCACCGCGGGCCCACAGTTCTCCCACTGGAGCACATGTCAGAAGCCCCCGGAGGCTTGTTGAAACCCAGTCCACTGCCCCACTCAGGTCTCCATTCAGGAGAGCGGAGGTGGAGCTGCAGTGTTGCTGTCTCAGAAGCTCACAGGTGATGGTGCCGGTCTATGGACCACACATTGAGAACCGCTGTTCCAGGCTGGTAGTCACTTGTTCTGTTGAAATCATCTCTTCTCTCTCTCCCCAGTAAAGACGGGCATTCCTCCAGATCAGGAGTGGGGTTTTGTTTTGTTTTGTATTTTAATATCTGTGTTCCTGGCAAAGTAGCTCTGACTAGTACTAGCCCCCTCAGTAAGTGCTCATTTGAATGAATGGATGACTAAGGAAGTGTTTCTGACCTTTTAATTTTCTGTTGCTTGAAATTTCTGTGGGTTTCAAGAATTCTCAGAGTTTTATCAGATTTTTACCTGATGGGCATGTGGGAGTTGTGCACTCAGTGGTTTGGTAAGTTTGTTGAGTGCATGATTGTAAAACACGTTGAAGCCAAAGGTCACATCGTTATATTTGGCTCCATGTTCTTTCCAGAGCAGAATATTCACTGCTAGCTCCTAAGTCATCACATGGTTGGTCACTCTTTGGCCTTTTAGCAGATTTGAACATTTCTTTCCTGAAGTAGCACCTTCTTTGATGTGAAATGGCCACATCATAAGTGGGATAGTGGAGAGGGGCGGTGGTGCATTTGCTTCCTCCTTCCAATGTCCCTGTGAGTTGAGTAGGACAGTGGCAGGTCCAGGCTCCTTGTGTCAGCCAGGTGGGCTCTGTGTCTCCTACACCTAGGCTTCAAGTAGGAAGGAAGTTGTTTCTGGTGCCTTGAGAACTTTCCTTGTGCCTTGCATTTAAAATTTAGCTCAGTGGCATTCTCACCTGTTACTTTTCTTTTGAAGTAAGAACTAATTCTTTTGCTATAATAGAGTTTAAAAGAACTTATTGAAGAAACGAACAGGCAGATTGCCCACCTGAATGGAATTTTTTCAGCAATACAAGAGTTTTGGGAGCTAGCACCAGCGCAACAACATGTAAGTATTAGAAAAGTTTTACAACTTTGATAAATCTCTTGTTCCTAAATTGCCAGACAGTTGGAAGTGATATGGAAGTAAGAATTTTGTGATATTAGCAATGGCGATCTATACTTATGACAGTAGCAGAGAGATATCTGAAACTCTGTTGAAAGAATGCTGAGCTTAGATATATTGTGATGCCGAGTATTATTATGTCAGCAATCATCATGTATAAAATGTAGTTTTAAAGGGGAATAAAAATCTTATAATTTAAATATAACATTTACCCTTTATAGTGGAAATTACATAGCAAACACGAAAATAGTTTTGAGTGTTTTTACTGGCTTTTTAATCCTCATCTTTATTCACAGTTGTCTTAACTAGATTGGTGTCATTTTAGAGGTCATCTGGAGTCACACAGAAAGTTTTGATTGTCTATATCATGAGAAATTAAAACTCAGAAACTGAAGGAAAGAGCTCACCTTACTTTGTTCTCTTACTGCAAACAGGACAATGGAGAACCATCATCACCAGTGGCAAGGCGGGCTGCCCATACCCAGGAGAATCCTCCAGAAATATCACTTCAGTCAGCATCAAGCTGTCAGGCGCAGGAGGTTCGACACAGACAGAGTCCAGCACTTCCTAGAACTTCTGTTATACATTTATGTCGGCCATATCTTAAGCAGGAGGAGAGTTCATATCCTGGTCTCTGTGGAGGTGCTGAAAGTTCTAACAATGTCTTTTCATTCTCCCAGTCTTCTGTAGCAGTACCTGTAGTAGTTCCTCCACTGGGAGACTCTTGTGTGGCCATTAACCCTGATAGAGTGAATTACTCAGACATTCTTGGAAATGAGGGCATGATCCCAGATACTACCTCGCTATCTACCTGCATCCTTCCCCATTTTGGTGAGTTTTCAATTATATATATTATAAATGTCATCATTTAATCTAGATTTTAAAAATCCTTCTTTCAAATTAGTGTCATTTTTTAATCAGAAGTTTTATATTGAGGGTGTTTTTTTTTTTTTTGTCTTTTTGAGACAAGGTCTTGCTATGCAGTTTAGGCTGGCCTTGAGCTCACTCTGTAGTCCAGGCTGGCCTCGAACTCGCAACGATCCTCCTGCCTCAGCCTCCCCAGTGCTGGGATTACAGGCATGTGCCACCATGCCCTGCTTTATATTGAGATTATTGTAGCTCCATATGTAGTTGTAAGAAATAATGCAGATACCTCTTTTACTCAATTTTCCTCAGTGGTAGCATCTTTTGAAACTATAATTATATTCATCTTTGTCTCTGTAAATTAGTTCTGTGCAACTTTACTACGTGAGAAGGCCTGTATGTTCATCACAATAGTCAAGGCATAGTATATTCTTTTACTGCAAGGTTTGTTTCTATCATACAAAGCTGTATTGACATTTTATAGCCAAACCCATTCCCTTCTAGATACTCACCCCTCCTACTCTTATATCTCTAATCTTTGGCAACCACCAATCTGTTATCTTATCTGTAATTCTATCATCTCAATATTGCTACATAGCTAGACACACATACAGTAGTATGTAACCTTTTGATACTGGCTTTTTCGCTCAGCGTAATTCCCTGGAGATTCAACCAGGTCACATATATCAGCAGTTCCTTTTTATTGCTAAGTCCTGTAAACTGTGTTATAGGTGTAGTATGGTTTAACTACTCATCTGTTGAAGGAATATATTTACTAGTTTTTGACTATTAGGATTAAGGCTGCTATGAACATTTATCTATAGATTTTTATATAAATTTAAGTTTTCATTTCTCTGGCATAAATTTCCTACAGTACAATTGCTGGTTATATGTTAATTGCATATTTAGTTATGTTAAATTTTGTGGTACTGGGCATTGGACCAAAGGCTTTGCACATGTTAGACAAGTACTCTACCACTAAACCAGCCCGAGTTTTAAAAATATCTTTATTGAGACATAACTAATATTTTAGTCTATTTGTGTTGCTATAACAAAATGTCACAGACTGGGAATTTGATAAAGAACAGAAATTTATTTTCTCATAGTTCTGGAGGCTAGAAAGTTCATGATCAAGGTGCCACAGGTTTGGTTTTCTGGTGAGGGCTGCATCTTACAGAGCAGGGAAAGCTGTGTCCTCACATAGCAGAAGGTAGAAAGGCAAGCTCACTGACCATTGCATGAAGGCTCTTTTATGAGGATTTTTTTTTTGGTACTGGGAATCAAACTTACAACCTTGCGCTTGCCAGGCAGGCACGTGTGCCATTATAAGGGTATTAATACCATTCATGAGTGAAGAAGTCTTGTGGCCTAATCACCTCTTAAAGGCCCCTTCGCTTAATACTATCACATTGGCAACACTGAATTTTTGGAGCAGATACATTCAAACCATAGTAATTAATGCAAAATATACACATATTTAATGTACACAGTTTGATGAGTTTGAACATATGCGTGGTTTTATGAAAACCTTATGTTTCCTAGCATGGCCAGACCATTTTACATTCTTGCCAGCTATATATGAGTGATACTCTTTCTTTGTATCTGTATTTTTGCTCTTCCTATTGTTCCTTTCTCCTTTGCTCCAATATTCCTTGCATCATACCCTTTTTTTTGATGATGCTTTTTCATCATATCTTTATTTTCCTTTAGGCTTTCTTTAAGGATAAATCTATGAGTGATAAATAATTTTAGTTTTCTTTCCTATAAAATGTATTTCTGCTGCACTACTCAAGGATAGTTTTGCTATATATAAATTCATGGATGACAGTTCTTGAAACTGTTTTTTTTTAGGTATGCCAGGAACAGCAGAACCCAGCTCGGGAAATAACTCTGAGACAAGGAATTACCCACCTGTAACGGGAAATGACAATAGCCAGTGTCCTTTGTCTTCAACTGCCAGCACCTCGTCTGATTCTAGTGAGTTTCAGATAATACATATCATAAGTAGGACTGCTGAATCTAGGTCCATCAACATCCTTAATGCAAGCTAGTCGTAGTTTACTTTTTTATGGTACTGAAGATTGAACCCAGGCTTTCACAGTGATCTACATTTCTAGCCCTTAATTCTTTATTTTTAATTTTGAGACAAGGTCTTGCTAAGTTGCTGAATTGTTTGGGGTAGCTCAAACTCGTGATTCTTCTGCTTTAACCTCCCATAGTGCAGGGATTATGGGTGTGTGTCACCATGTCTGGTTCACTTTATAAATTTTGAAATGATTTTAGATTCACATGTATTTGTAAAAAATAACAATTCCCTTTATACTTTACTCTTTTCTCTCAATAATATCATCTTGCAAATCTATAGTAAAACAATATAATCAGGATATTTACCTTGATAAAATTCACAGATGTTACTGAGATGTCCCCAGTTTTACTTGTAGTAATTTTGTACATTTATGTTTATTTCTGTGCAGATTTATTGCATGGATAGGTTTAATTGCCACCTCCCTAGGCAAAATACAAAACAATTTGATTACACCTAGCTGCCTTTTTAATAACCATAGCCACCTTGCTCAGGTCACTCTTCCTTCCCCACTGCCTTTCACTAATGCCTGGAAAATATACTGTCTATAATTTTGCCACTTTTATTATACAAAGGAAATTTTGTGTTATGTAGTTTTTTTTAAAAGTCAGCATAGTTTTTTGAAAATTCAACTCATGCAGGTGGTTGTGTGTATTGATAGAAAGTTTCTTTTTGATGTTGAGGATTGAAACAAAGACCTTGAGCATGCCAGGCAAGTACTGTACTATTGAGCTACACCTCCAGCCATTTCTTTGTTTTATTTTGAGACAGGTTCTTATTAAGTTGCCCAGGCCGGTCTTGAACTTGAGATCTTCCTGCCTCGGCCTCCTGAGTAGCTGAGATTATAGATCTGCACTATACCCAGCTAGTTTCTCCCTTTTTATTACTGAGTAGTTTTGCATAGTTTGGTTAAGTAATAGTTGTTTTGACCTATTCAGCCATTAAAGGACATAGGTTATTATTTCCCCCAGCTTTTGGTATTAAGAATGAACCTCTATAAACATTCATGTGCTATGAATAGCTATGTATAAGTATAAATTTTCTTTTCTGTTGTGAATCTCAAGAGCATAATTTCTGGGTCTTTGGGAAATAACATGTTTAGTTTTAAAAGAAACTTCCAGTTTTCCAGAGAAGCTGTACCATTTTACATTCCCACTAGCAATGATCCATTTTGTCTACATTGATATTTCTGATCTTTCCATTGTTCTTTTTCTTTGATATTCTGAAATTCCTTCTTTTATAATATCCGTTCTGTTTCAAGATTTTCCTTCAGCCTTTTATATGGGTAAGTATGGTATGGATAAATTCTTTTAGTTTTCTTTTGTATGGGAATGTTATTTTACCTGTTTTCCTTGAATGATTGTTTCACCTCATGAAGAATTTGTGATTGAGCATCCTTTTCTTTCAGACGCTAACAAAATTGTACTGATAGAACCACCGGAAAAAGCAGAAGCCAACCTGAAAGACAGTAAGGGGACAATGTACTACGCAGGTTTACCAGGAAGTTTCACTGACCGGGCACGTGACTCATCCTCTGCCACCAACTCTTCCAATTTTGGCAAGTTTGAAATAACACGTAGTACAAGTAGTACTTGTTAGTTTAGATTCAACATTCTTAATATTTACTCTTGTTGGCAGTTTTCTAAAGTTAAACTTTTCATTTTGAGATATTTCAGAATCACATGCAGATATAGGAAACAATACAGAGATCATGTAGATCCTTCGCCCACTTTCCCCCAATGGTACTATTTTACAAAACTACATTTTTCCATTGATGCAATCCACAGATCTTACTGAGATGTCCCTAGTTTTGCTTGTATCCTTTTGTGTTTGTGTGTTTTTGGCACTAAGCAATTTTATCTCATGAGTAGGCTTGTGTGTCCACCCCCACAGTCAAGGGAGCGAACATTTCCAGCAGTTCAAGGTGCTATCTGTTTGTCCATAACCACACTCAACTCTTGGGTCAGCCTCCCTGCCTGTATCTCCCATCCCTAATACCTGGCTGTCATTGACCACTTTTCCAGCTATATAATTTTGTCCCTTCAGATTTTTATATAAGTGCAGTGATATCTGATATTGGCTTTGTTTTTCACTCATCTTAATTTTGGGGGAACTCATCCACGTTGTTGCGTGTTTTAATAGTCTATTCTTTTTATTTTTGAATGATATTCTATGGTTTGGATATATTATATTTTGCTTAACTATTCATTTCTTGAAGGACATTTGGATTTTTTTCTAGCTTTTGGCTATTGAGAATGAAGCTACTGTGGATATTCATGTGCATATTTTTTTATAAATATGTTTCCATGTATTTCCTTTCTATTGATGAAGAGTTTTCCATGGTATAGACAAACAAGTTTTTAATTTCATTGAACAACTCACTCACTGAAGGATATCTGGTTTTTTTCTTTGCATTTTTTGGATATTGTAGGTAAAGCTTTTATGAACATTAATATCCCGGCTTTTGTGTAAATGTAAGTTTCTATTCCTCTGTCATGAATGCCAAGAGTGCAATTGCTAGGTTTATGATAATAGCATGTTTAGTTATACAAGAAGCTGCCAAACAGTTTTCCAGAGAGGCTGTGACATTTTAAATTCTCAGTAGCAATGTGTGGATGATTTCCTACACCTACATTTCTAATCTTTTCATTGTTCTTCCTTCCTGATGCTCCAACATTCCTTCTTTTGTAAATATCTTTTCTGTTTGAAGATTTTTCTTTAGACATTAATTTTTTTTCTTTTCTTTTTTTTGGTACCGGGAATTGAACTCATGACCTCAAGCTTTCCAGGCAAGCACTTATGCCGCTGAGCTATATCCCTGGCCCTTAATTTTTTCTCTTGAGACAGGGTATTGCTATATAGTTCAGGCTGGCCTTGAACTTAATATGTAGCTTAGGCTGGCCTGGAATTTGCAATGATTTTCCTGCCTTAGCCTCCCAAGTGCTGGAATTGTAGGTGTCTTTTTTTTTTGAGTCAGGTCTCACTATCGGTCCAGACCAGTCTTGAACTCACTGTGTAGCCCAGCATGGCCTCAGACTCACAGTCTATCTTGCCTCAACCTTTTGAGTGCTGAGATTACAGGTATGTGCCACCATGTCCAGTTTTTTTAAACCTATTTTTTAAGGGTAAATCTGGCCAACTGATGTGGTATATGCCTATAATCATAGCACTTGGGAGGTTTAGGCAGGGGAATCACTGGGTTTAAGGTGAGCCTGAACTACATGAGGGGACCCTGTCTCTCAGAGAAAACAAACCAATACAAAAAGGTAAACCTGCTAGGGACAAATGATTTTAATTTCATTTTTTGTGAGGATGTTTTTATTTCCCCCTTTTTTCCTGAAGGATAATTTTACCCAATATTGAATTTAAAATTAGGAATTCTTATTTTTCAGCAGATGAAAACTTTATACTGGTAGAAGTGCCAGCAAATACAGAAAACAAAGCAAAAAGTAGTCCTGAGATAATGAGTTACCCATCTTCACTGGAAAATTACAGAGACCAAAGTCTTTCATCTTCATTTCTGAGCGTTTGTCCCAATTGTGGTGAGTTCAGAATGATTCACAGTACTAGCTAGTATCACTTTTATCTAGATCCATGAACATCCTTAATGCAAATCTAGTGGTAGCTCGTTTTTAATTATATGTTTAATTTTGTGGTTGTGCAAGGTAAACAGGTTGTTGTAAGAAATGTTACAGAAGGGGCTGGGGATTTAGCTCAGCGGCAAAAGCGCCTGCCTGGCAAGCGCAAGGTCGTGAGTTCGGTTCCCGGTACCGGAGAAAAACCAAAAAAAAAAAACAAAACTCCTAAAGGGTTTTACAACAAGGGTGTACCATATTAGGTTCCCACTAACTACATATAAGTGACTGATTTTGCCCCCTGTGCATTCATTGTTCTTCATTTTTCATGCTCCAGGATTTCGTCTTTCAGCTTTCTTTTTTGTCTGAAATTTTTAAGCCATTTTTTGGTTTTATTTTGTTAGTGCTATATTTTCTAGGCTGGTCTCAAACTTATGAGCTCAGGTGACCCTCCTCCCTTAGATTCCAAGTAGCTGAGACTATAAGCATATGCCACTATACCTGGCTAGCCATTCTTTTAAGTGTATCTCAGCTAATGACAAATACTTCTAGTTTTCTCTCATGTGAGAATATATTTCCCTTTAATTCTTGAAAAATAGTTTGCCTGATATAGAATTCATGGTTGAGATTTCTTTTCTCTCAATATTTCATATTTATTTATAGAAATGTTGATTGAAAGTACAGGCCAGCCCGGAAAGGAGCCCTGAGACAAATTGCTTTTGAAAAGGACATTATCTCACTGCATCTTCCACCATTCTGTTGAATTTGAAATGAAAGTTATTGCATGTACCACCACTGAATCTAGATTCATTAACATCTTTAGTGCAAGACAATGGTAGATTTTTCTAAATAAACTAATTTTCAGGAAAAATTTAGCTACATACAGTTGTAATAAATAATGCAGCAAGAGCCTATGTTCCCATTATCCAGTTTTTTCTAGGATATTGATATGATATTGTCCATATATACTGAGATTTACCTAGTTTTACTTGTATTCATTTGTATGCATATACGTGTGTATGTTGCAATTCAATTTTGCCATAAGTGTAGAGCAAGGTATCCTATACTACATGAAGCCTCTAAACAGTTCTATCACCACCGTGATCCTTTATAGTGCTGTTTTTCAACCACATTTTCTTTCTGCCCACCTTTGCTGCTGCCTCTAACTGCTGGAAGCCACTAATCTGTTCTCCAGATCTGGAGTTTGTCCTTTCAGTATTAAAATAAATGGAATCATGTAATATGTAACATTTTGAGGTATTTTTTCTCATCAGTATAATTCCCTGAGGACTCATCCATATTGTTGTATATCATTTGTTCCTCCCTTTTTAGTGCCAGAGAGTATTCCATGGTCTAGATGCACTATAGTTTGTTTATCTGTTCACCTTTTGAAACCACTGGGTTTCTTGTTTTTGGCTAGTAGGCATAGTATTGCTGCAAATGCTCCTTTAAGGTTTTAGTTTTGCTTTCCTTTTATTTTGTTTGAAGAATCTAGATTCAATAGTGCTACATGCAAACACATGTTTTCATTTCTTTATGATGAATGCCCAGCAGTGAAACTGCTGGGTCCTTTGGTATTTGCATCTTCCGTTTTATGTTAAACTGATAAACGGTTTTCCAGTGACTGTTAATATTTTCCATTTCTACTAGAAATGTATGATGATGCTAGTTTCTCTGTAGCCATACTGTTGCTCTCTTGCTGTTCTTTCTTTCTTCCTTATGCTCTATTCCTTCTATTGTAGTCTTTCTGATCAGAAATTTTCCTTTAGCCGTTTTTAAGTAAGAGTCAACTAGTAACACTTTTGGTTTTTCTTTGTGAATATCTTTATTTTCACTTGATTCTTGAAGGATAGTTTCGCTGTATATACAATATGATTAGGAGTGTTTTCTTACAGCATTTCAAAAATGTTTTTTTTGTAGGAATGTTGAACAAAGAAGAAAGTAACCTTGAACAGAGCCCTCAGCCAATGAACAACTTACGTTTAGTGGAGTATAGTAATGATAATCTGTCTTCCTGTTCATCGTGGAATAGTCCTCCCAGTATTGGTGAGTTGGAAATGATGTATACTATGCCTAGACTAGTTAGTTTAGATTAGTGATGGCAAACCTATGGCACACGTACTGTAGCTGGCTCCTTGTTACACTGAGAACTCTAAAAGGTTTAGCATCACTCTCTTCATGTGAGCCAGTGGTAACTTTTTAAATGAAAAATTAAGTTATTTTGAGAAAATTGTACTGCACAGAATTTTCCCAGTAAGAATGTCTCACAAATCTGTAGTAAAATGTCAAAACCAAGATATTGGTGTAGATAAATCAGATTTTATTACATGTTCTCTTTTTGTGTGTGTGTGTATGTGTGTGTTTGATTTCATGAGTAGGTTTCCAAATCCTCTGTCACAGTCAAGATACAGAAATAAGGATTCCAACTGTTACCCTTTGAAGCCATATCTACTTTCCTCCTTTAAACCTCCTACTTCTATTCTTCTCTATCCCTGCTACTTGCAACCACTAATTTATTCTCCTCCTTTATAATTTTTAAAAATTTTGTAGTTTATATAAATGGACTCATAGTCTACCTCTGCATAGTTCTCTAGAGGTTCATCCAAGTCAGTGCATGTATCAGTAGCTATTTCTTTTTTACTGCTGAGTACTATTCCATGGTATAGATATACCGTGGTTCATTTCTTTTTCATTCATTAAATGATATCTGAGTTGTTTCCTGCTTTTGGTATTTAGAATTAAAGCTGCTGTGGGGGCTGGGGATTTAGCTCAGCGGCAAAGCGCCTGCCTGGCAAGCGCAAGGTCGTGAGTTCAGTTCCTGGTACCGGAGAAAAACCAAAAAAAAAAACACAAAACAAAACAAAAAAAAAGAATTAAAGCTGCTGTGAATACTCATATACAGATTTTTATGAGAACACATGCTTTCTTTATTTGAGATACTCCCCAAGAGTGCAATTGCTGGATCACATATTAATTGTACATTTGGTTTCATAAAATACTGCCCAGCTGCTTTCCAGAGGTGCTGTACTATTTTCTGTTCCCTCAAGTGATCTAGTTTCCCTCCAAGCATATTCATGGTCTTTCTGGGTTTTTTTTTTTCTTTTTCTTTTTCTTTTTTTTTTTTTATACTTCAAGATTCCTTCCTTTATCATATTCTTTCAGATAGAAGATCTTCCTTTAGTCATTCTTTAATGGTAAGTGATCCAGTGACAACTTTCAAAATAAGTGTTTCTTTGTATGAGTATGCCTTTGTTTTTCCTTCATTCCAGCAGGGTGAGATGTTTTGTCTTTCACCACTTGAAAATGTTTTACATATTAAAATGTGTTATGCTCATGTATCAACTCCCCATAATGAATGTAATCATTATATGCCACAAACATACACTATAAAAATAAAAAATAAAATGTTGTTCAAAACAGAATCTGACTCAGCAGTGAAACCCGAGTCAACGACTGGTGAAAATTTAATGGAAAATATCACTGATCCAGATGGTAGTACAGGACCTTCCTCCACCAGTTCCAATTTTGGTGAGTTTGTAATGATACCTATTGCAAATAGCAGTCTTTATTCTAGATTCATCGGTATTCTTAACATTATTTCTTAGTGATAACTTCTCAAAATTAAACTTTACATTTTGACATATTTCAGAATTATAGGCCAGCATAAGAAACAATACAGAGAAATCTTATATACTCTTTACCTAGTTTCTCCCAGTGATAATATTTTGCAAAAAAAAAATAAAATAAAATGTCGTAACTGGGATTTTAGCATTGATACAATTGATTATGGTTACTGACATTGGTCTACTACATGTCCTCAGTTATCTCTGTATTTGTGTGTGTATGTGTATTTAGTTCTCTGCAATTTTATGTCATGTGTAGGTTCAGATGTACATCAAATCCTAAAGTATCCCATCACTTTCAGGACCCATCTTGTTGATGTTTTTTTTATCTCCATGTCATTCCCTCCCTGGCCTCTTTCCTCACCCATCCAACTACCTCTATGTTTACCCTGTTTATGACTTTGTCATTACAAGAATGTTATAGAAAGAGACTCATATAAGATTTAAATTTGAGATATGACTTTTTCTACACAGAATAATTTCCTCAATATGCATCCATTTTTTGCTTGAGTAGTAACTAGCCATGTGCATTTCAGTAGTTCCTTCCTTCTTACTTGGTGACTACTATTCTGTGGTATGGATGTATCATGGCTTGTTTATCCATTTACTCTTTTTTTTTTCTTTTTGAGGCAGGGTCTCGCTATGCAGTTCAGGCTGGCCTTGAGCTCACTTTGTAGCCCAGGCTGGTCTCAAACTCACAACGCTCCTCCTGCCTCAGCCTCCCGAGTGCTGGGATTACAGGCATGCACCAAGATGCCTGGCTCCATTTACTCTTTAAAGGACATCTAGTTGTGTCCAGTTTTTTTGTCTGTTACATGCAAAGCTTCTATAAGCACTAGTGTATAGGTTTTGGTGTGAACATATTTTTTATACAGTTACGTGCTTGAAATCCAGGACTGTGGTGCTTTTCTCTTGGTACCCAGAATTTATTTTGCTATTCTGGGTCTCTTCTGGTTCCATATGAACATTAGGATTGTCTTCTCGAATTCTATGAGGAATACTGTTGGTATTTTGATTGAGATTACATTAAATCTGCATAACAATTTTGGAAATATGGTCATTTTGATTATATTGGCTCTGCCTATCCAGGAACAAGGGATATCTTTCCATTTTGTGATGTCCTCTTCAATCTTGTTTTTCAGAGTACTGCAGTTCTAATTGTAGAGGTTATTTATTTCCATGGTTAGGTTAACTCTTATTTAATTTTTCTGATGCTATGACATATGGGATTTTTTTCCTAATTTTTTATCAGTGAGTTCATTGCTAGTATAAAGGAATACTATTGATTTTTGTGTGTTAATTTTGTATCCTGCTATGTTGCTGAATTTGGTTGTTAATCTTAATAATCTTTTGGTGGAGCCATTTTGATAGGTATATGGTAATATGTCATTGTGGATTTAACATGCATTTACCCTTAGATAATGATGCACATCTTTTTATGTCCTAATTTTCCATCTGTAGATTCCTTTTTATGAAATATCTGTTTCTGTCTTAACTTAGTATTTTTTTTTTACCTCTGAGTTTCAAGTTACTTAGATATTATAGATACTAATCTTTTGTTGGATATGCAGTTTGCAAATATATTCTCCTGTGTTCAGCTTGCCTTTTTGTCTTCCCTATACTGTAGTTTTTTTTTTTTTTTTTCCTTTCAGAAAGAAAGGTTTTAGGGATAGGGATATAGCTCAGCAGTATAGCACCTACCTGGCAAGTGCAAAGTCCTGAGTTTAATTCCTGGTACAAACAAACAAAAACAGAAAGAAAGTTTTTAATTTTTATGAGGTCTGATTTATCAAGTTTTCTTTTTATTCGCTCTCTTCCATTGAATTGCTTTGCAAATTAATCATATATCAACTAGGCATATTATTGGTTCCCAGTTATGTTCCAATAATCTGTTTTTTTTCCCTTTTTTTGGTGGAAATGAGGATTGAATTTAGGGCCTTTGCACTGTGACATCCCAAGCCTTTTTGTTTTATATTTTTATTTTGAGCCAGGGTCTTGTTAAGTCACTAAGTTGCCTAGGCTGGGTTTGAAATTGTAATCCTTTCTGCCTCGGCCTCTCAGAGTTCTAGGATTACACTATCACACCTGGCACCACTGTTCTTGTTCTATGCCCTGCCACATCACACTGTTATGAGTACTGTTGTTCTTTAGTAAGCTTTAACATCATGTAGATTGAGCCTTCCTACTTTATTCTTGTTTTTCAAAATTGCTTTAACTATTCTAGGTCCTGTGCCTTTGCATATTAATTTTAGAATAAACTTGTTTATGTTTTTTAAAAAAAAGTCCTGGGATTTTTGATAGGCATTATCTTAAACCTACAGATCAATTTGGGGAGAATTAACATCTCTGGTATGTTGAATCTTTTCATCGCTGAGTACTGTGTGTCTCTTTATTTATTAAGGTCTTTGATTTCTTTTATCAGGGTTTTGTAATTTTTAGCATACAGGTCCTGTATATGTTTTTATAAGTTTTTGCCCTATTTCATTCTCTTTGAAGAGTATAAATGGTACTTTTTCAAAATTTATTTCTAATTTAAATTTTTCTGTTTATTTAATTAACAAAATTGTACATAATTATGGGATACCATGTGGTGTTTTGATAGTATATCCACTGTGTAATGTTGAAACCAGGGTAAGCATATCTGTCTCCTCAAACATCATTTCTTTGTCGTGAAAACATTCAAATCCTTTCTTCTAATCTTTTAAAGCATATAATATATTATTGCTATCTATAGTCATCCTACTATACATTAGAACTCTAGAACATAGTTCTCCTTCTTAGCTATGACTTAATACTTATTGACCAACCTCTTCCCTGTATAATTTTAAATTTCACTTTTCATATGTTCATTGTCAGTGTATAGAAATGAACTTTATTTTTGAGTGTCGACCTTACATCTTGTGACCTTGCTAAAACTTCTTCCTCATTGATTACAATCAATCTTGTTATTTTTCTGTACCTCTTGCAGCAGGTGCTGGATTGATTTCTCATGGTCCCATGAGACCCTTTAAGGAGTGTTTGTTTTCATGATTGCTAACTGCAAGGCTGTCTTTTATATCTGAGATCCTGTCCTGACATGGGGTTAATCTGCTGTGGATACATTCAATAGCATTTTTATTCTCCTGGATATCTGCTTGAATCTCCCTAATGGATTCTGTTTCTTTTGTATGCTGAGCTTTCAAGGCTTCCATAATTTTCTTAAGCACCTCTATTTTTTTGTCTTCATCTGCTCTAGAGTCACTAAGCATGGTTTTCATTGTGGACTCCATCTCCGAAGTTATCTGAGTAATTATTTCTGATTTGATTTTTTTCTAGAGCCTCATTCAATTGCTTTGTTTTTGCCACTTCAGAGAGCCCAGATAGGTAGCCTTCAGATTGTCTCAACTCATTGCCCCCTGGCTTTGCCTTTGGTGAATTGGATGTCTGTTCTTTCATCTTATTTAAATATCTTCTCTTTTTCTTTTCTTTTTTAGTTTAATTCCTGGGGTTATGCTTATAAACTGCCTATAGTGGTTGCTTTATTGCTAGTATTTGGACCACTTAGGAAATGACTACTTCTGTGAGATATCTTCCAGGTGTACTTGGTTTGGGGGTTTTTAATATGTTGTAAGATCCTGCCTCTTCAGTTTGTTGGGGATGAGAAGTTGCTGCCTGTTTGGCCCAGCCCCTAGTTCTTTGACACTGTGTTACAGAATTTTCTGTGACCCTTAGTCAGTCTCAGTCTTGGAATATCAGAAGAACAGCTGTTTAGAACAATGATGTCACTTTTTGCTATAGTGGTACCATCAGCAATGACAATAGAATCAAACACAGCCTAGAAGATGACAAACTGAGCTAACCGTTAATTGGTGACCTTTAACCATATGAACTAGATTTGTGGTCATATAACAAAATCTAAGACAAACAAGAAAATTATATGCAGTATACAAGTCCTTCATATGTCAATTTTTCCCTCAAGGATTAAAATTTAAAATTTGCTAGGGAGAAAAGAGAGAAGTGGAATAAGGTAGAGATTAGAAGTAAGGCTTGAAGACAAAGGGGGATCACACTAACTTTGGGAAACTGATGCGGAAGACTGGAGGAAAAGGATGAGATAAAAAGAAGAGCAGAACAGAACCACAAACACAAAGAGGCTAGTTCACACTCATAAAAACAAGATCAAACAATGAAGGAGAAAAAAAAATAAAACTACCACTACAACAAAATACAAATGAGACACAGAGAGAAAAAAGAAAAAAGTCCACTTCCAGGTATGACTCTGCTGTCACTGGTAGAGAATATGTGGAGACAGTCCTGATCTGCATTGATTTATCCCAGCAAGCCAGCAGTAGCTTTTTGGCAGGGTAGTGGGTTATCTCAGCAAGCCTGTGCCTTCTGGCTGAGACCAGACTCATTCAGCCTGCAGCTATCAGTGTACCTTCTATGGGCCTGAGCCCAGATGGGAGCCACTAGGTGGAGCCCTCAGCTCCTCTGATTTCTGAGCTCAGTTGGTGCCTCTCCAAGATGGCTCTCAACCAATCACTCTGTCGAGCAGGATCACTGAGCCCCCACCACTCACAACCAGCTAGTGCAGTCCTTCACATCTACTGCTCTCCTCCACTGCTGCATCTCTCCATGGAGGCCTCTGGGGTAACCAGCAGTTATCATGTGTCTGCAAGTTTGAACTGCTCCTCTTGCACAGTGAGTCCTGTTTCAGGGAGAAGGTGCTGCCAGCTACCTCCTTCTTCTTCCTTGAAGTTTTTCTCTTCTGTATTTCTGTGGGTCTCAATTCAGGCTTCAGATTCTTCCTGGATTCAGGGGACCCATTTCCCTCTGTGTCTTCCTCACATTGCTCTATTCCAGTGTCAGGATAGCAACTCTTATAGAGGCTTACCACTCTGCCATCTTGGTGCTCAATCTCTGTTATTATTGGTTCCATTGTGGTTGGAAAATATACCCTGTATGATTTCTTTTTTGTTTTTGTTTTTTTTTTCTGGTACCAGGGATCGAACTCAGGACCTTGCGCTTGCCAGGCAGGCGCTGTGCTGCTGAGCTAAATCCCCAGCCCTCCTGTATGATTTCTTTTCCTTTAAATTTACTGGAGTTTGTTTCTCTGGCCCAGATTGTGGTCTATCTTGTTCAGTGTTCTAGAGGTAAGGCACATAATAATGTATTGCCTGCCTTTTGTGGGTGGAATGTTCTCTAATGAGAATCTTGTTGATTGGTCCATGTTATTCAGGTTCTTCTATACCTTTGATTATTTTTTGTCTTGTTGTCCTATCAGTTGCTGAGAAGCTGGTATGGAGGCTCATGTATAATTGTGGACTCGTCAGTTTCTCCTTTCAGCTCTTTTAGTTTTTGAGATTGTTGTTTCCTATGTACACAATGAGGATCAGTATATCTTCCTGGGGCTTTATACTTTTATTGGTATACAACATCCTTTCTGTTCTAGTAAGTGTCTTTGCTCTGCTGCTTTATTTTTATCTTTTTTTTTTTTTTTTGAGACAGGGTCTTGCTATGCAGTTCAGGCTGGCCTTGAGCTCATTTTGTAGCCCAGGCTGGTCTTGAACTTGCAACGATCTCCTGCCTCAGCCTCCTGAGTGCTGGGATTACAGGTATGTGCCACAATGCCCGGTTTGCTGCTTTATTTTTGGACTTACGTTTACTTTTCATCCTTTTACTTTTTTTCAGTACTGTGAGTTGAACCCAGGACCTTTGCTCTGAGCTACATTCCCAGACTTTTCAATGTATTTGAGACGGGGTCTTGCTAAGTCAGTGAATTACTTAGCCTGGGCTTGGACTTGTGATCTTTCTATCTCCACTTCCCTTAGTATTAGGATTACAGGCGTGCATCACCATTCCCAGTTTCATTCTCTTCATCCATTAACTTTTTTTTTTGGTCTTTCGTAAACCAGAACATGGTCTTGCTATGTAGTTCAAGCTGGCTTTGAACTCACGGTGTAGCCCAGGCTGGTCTCAAACTCAAGATGATCCACCTGCCTCAGCCTCCTGAGTGCTGTTACAGGCATGGACCACAACACCTGGCTCATCCTTTTACTTTTAACTTACCTATGTCATTGAAATTGTAGAACTTCTTAAAAGCAAGGTATAGTTCTACATTATTTTTTATCTACTTTGTCATTGCTGCCATGTAATTGATGTGTTTAGACAATTTGCATTTAAGATATTTATTGTCATCCTAAGGTCTCTGTCTTTTTTTTTTAAATTTTATTTAATTTTTTTTCCAGTACTGGGGATTGAGCCCCACAGTCTTTGCACTGAGCTACATGCCAAGCATGTTTTAATTTTCTTACTTTTTGAGATAGGGTCTTGGTAAGTTGCTAAGTTGCCCAGGCTAGGCTTAAACTTGTGAATCTCCTGTATCAGCTTCGCAGAGTGCTGAAATTATAGGCATGTGCCATTACATCTGGATTCATTTGTTTTTGTTTCTTTCTTTTGTTTGTCATTATTGTGTTTGTCTTTCTTGCCTTTCTTTAGTTTACTTGAATAGTTTTTAGTATTCCATCTTGATTTGATTATTACTTTTTTTTTAAGAGTAGAAAAATTTATTGGAGAAAAAGAATGGGGAATAGAAATGGAGGAGTGGGAACTAGGAATAGCTCCTGAGAGACAGGAGGGGTACTGAATGGGTTGCCAATGAGCCCACCTCTCAAAGGAAGTTTTATAGAGCAAAATCATGAAGTGAGTACAGTGTGGGTCAAAATTATGATCAACCCAATGAAATTGCTAGTATAGTTGCTTAGGTAATATTGATCTAATGATAGCAAGGGTATATGGGTGACATCATTAACCTTGGTCGATAATATGTAGTCTTAAGTCTTAGTAGGTGGAAGAGGATGGCTCACCCCTAATGAGATAATGGGAAATCTCAAAAGGATAATGCCAAAAATCCCAAGCCTCCATTAATCACTTAGGGAAGTATGTAAAACTATTATTTTGCATAAGTTTCCTAGTGGTTGCTCTAAGTTACTGTATACATATCACTTATCACAGTCTGTTGGTATGAACATCTCACTACTTGGAATAAAGTTTTCTTTTCTTTGTTTTTGAGGTAAGATCTAAGTAGCCTAGGCTGCCCTCCAACTTGCTGCGTTGCCCAAGCTGGCCATGAACTCATGATCCTCCTGCCTTAGCCTTCCCTGATGTGTGTCACCATGCCTGGCTTGTGATAACGTTTTGAAACTTTAATTTTTCTTAAGTCCCTTTACCCTCTCCACTTTTAAATCTCATTGGCTTAGGTGTCAGATGGAGTTTTTATTTCTGTTTTGGAAATCCCATATGATTTAGAAAACTCATGCTACTTTTGTATTTACCTATATTTACCTATATTTCCTTATCTCCTCCTTTTATTGCCGAGTAGTATTCTATGATAGAGATTTATCACAGTTTGCTTAACCATTCATCTGTTGAAGGACACCTGAGTTGATTTTGGCTTTGAGCTATCCCAAATAAAGCTCCTGCGACCACTCATGTGCTGGTTTTTGTGTCAGCATGGACTTTTATTTCTCTAGGATAAATGCCCAGCAGTGAAATTACTAGGTTATATGGTAATTGCAGGTACAGTTTTTAAAGAAACTATTTTTACATCTCCCCCAGTAATATATGAATGGTTTAGTTTCTCCACATGCATATTTGCATTGTTTCTGTTCTTCCTTTCTTTTTGATACTCCAGGATTCCTACTATCATCATAATGTTCCATCTAAAGACCTTCCTTGAGCTATGCTGTAAGAATAGGTTATGCTGGTGACAAATACTTTTACTTTTCTCTTGTCTCTCATGTGTTTATTTCCCCCTCATAGCCAAAGTTCTAGCTGGATATAGAATGTGCAGTTGAGAGCTTATTTCTTTTAACTTGTTTACTTACAGAAATATTGGTAGAAACAGAAACTAATATGGAAAGCAACCCCGGCACAATGAATCACCCAAACGTACTGAGATATTGTGCTTGTCAACGTCCTCCTTCATCATCTGTTTCTCATCCTAGTTTTGGTAAGTTTGAAATGACACATATTACAGGTATCACTGTTTAACCTACATTCATCAGCATTTTTGCTGCAAACCAGTGGAAGCTGTTTGTTTCCTATTTTGAGGGCTGGTTTAGGTGATACAATAATGACTTGCATTTACTGAGTGCATTTTATGTGCAAGGCACTGTGCTGATCAATTGACATACCTCTTCTCACTTAACTCTCATAAGGACCCCATGATATCTTAGTACTTTTATTACTCTAATCTCCAAGTTCACAAAGCAAATGAGTGATACTTTCTGAAATTTACCCCAGTTCTCTTTACCTTTAAATCTCATGTTGCTTACCAGTCTGTGGTACCATCTTCCAAGCCACAGTGGTAGAGATGAAAGGACCCCAGACTCTGTGGTCTCTAAGGGCAAGCCTTCCAAATATTTTATCATTCCTTTTGGTCTTAATTTCTGAGTCCCTATCACTAATTAATACTCTAGAACAGAAGTCAGTAAACTTTGTCTGTAAAGGGCTAGATAGTATTATCTGAATGAACTGCTCACCTTTACTGTTGTAACAGAAAAGCATCCAGGGACAATAGATCAGTGGAGAAGTGTGGCTACACACTTGTCCATCTTCATTTATGCAAACAGGCATTGAGATCAGCCTGGGGACTAGTTTGCCAAAACTAGAAGGAACATTGAAAAATTATACTCTTTGCACTAAAATGTGCATATTGGTGCAGTGTTGTTAGAACTGTAAATTAGCAGAGATTTCTGAAGGGTAGTTTGTGTAAAAATTTCAACTAAATGTAAAGTATTTATGTGAGTTGATTTAGTAGTCCCGCTTCTATGTGAAGCTATAATAAAAATATTTATATTAAATTTTGGTATAAGAATGTCCTTTAATTGAGGCCTGTGCAGATCCGTGCTTTCGATGGCTTGGGGTTGCTATCTGCCTCATAAAGCCAAGTGAAAGAGTTGGCCTCTGGAAATACAAAGTTGTGTTCACCTCTGAAAAAGCCTCCTAGTTGAAAAAAAAGAATATCCTTTTATAGAATCATGGAAAACTGGCAAAAATAAACAAAACTAGGGAATTAGTTAAATGACTTCTGCTGTATCCATTTTCATATTGATTTTCTCATAGCTGAGGAACAATACCTGACACCCATAATTTAAAGGAGGAAAAGCTTTAAATTTGGCTCATAGTCTGTAGAGGTTTCAATCCATAGTTGGTTGGCTGCAAGGGTGGTATGACAGCCACGGCAGGTAAGAAGCAGTGAGCCCTCAAGGGAAGAGAAGGGATATCAGTAGACTAATCCAGTATGACATACCCATGATCCAGTCACCTGCCAAAAGCCCCACCTATGAGCATATAAAGCTTTGGGGGACATTTTGATGTATTTTATTTCTTGATCCACTCTGCCAATCTGTTTTCTTTGATTGGTGAATTGAGGCCATTTACATTAATGGTTATTACTGATATGTATTGGCTTATCTTTGCCATGTTATTTTCCCACTGTTGGTTCTGTACTTTCCCCCCTGTTTAACTGCTTGCCCTACTTCATGGTTCTTTTCTATTGTTGTTCTTGGAATTGTGGTCTTTTTTATCTTTTTGTAGAATATCTTTCAGTACTCTTTGTAGGGTTGATTTGGTGGTCATAAATTTCTTCAGTTGATCTTTGTCATGGAAGTATCTTATTTCTCCATCAATTTTGAGAGATAGTTTTTCAGGGTACATCAATCTGGGTTGAAATTTGTTTTATTTTAGTACCTGAAATACTTCACTCCAAGTTCTTCTTGACTTAATGGTTTGTGTTGAGAAATCTGCTGTGGTTCTGATGAGTTTTCTTTCATAGCTGATCTGTTCCTTTTCTCTAACAGCTTTTAATATTCTATTCTTTTGCTTAATTTCTGGGATCTTGATTATTATTATTATGTGTCTAGGTATAGATTTATTTTGGCTACAGCTAATTGAAGTTCTATATGCCTCACTTTTCTGTATGTCAGATTCTTTTCCCATGCATGGGAAATTTTCTGCTATTCTGTAAATATTCTTTGTCATTCCTGTTGCTTCCTGCTCTTTTGTTGACACCTGTCAATCTTATATTGTTTGTCTTTGCCTAATCTTGCAGCTGTTGAATTGTTATTTACTGGTTCCTTGTTATTTTTAAGAGATCTTTCCTTTCATGATCACTAGCTGCAATGCTGTCTTCAGGGTCTGAAAGTCTACCCTGAGTTTTGTTCAGGCGGTTTGCCAGCTTTTAATGGAATTTTTAATTTCCTGAATATCTCTTTGAATCTGTTTCATGCATTCTAATTCTTCTCTACATTTTTCACTTAAGGTTTCCATCATTTTTCTGTGCTCCTCTATTTTTTTATCTATGTTTTCTTTTGATATGCTTGGTGATTCTTTCATTATGGTTGCTATTTCTTTTTTATCTGAGAGTTTATTTCTGATATGATTTCCTCTATAGACTGATATAGTTGGTTCTTTACTTCAGTTCCTATCATTTCAGAAATTTCAGATTTGTGACTTCCAACTTCTTCTATGTTGATATTTCCTGGAGTTGTTCTGGATGGATAGAGGGCTGAGATTGCATTTTGCTCCTTCATTTTGTCATTTTTGAATCTCCCTAGGTTTTTTGGGACTCAGGGTCATTCCTGTGATGGCAGCGGGAGGTGGAGTGCGGGGTCTTGGGCTCTCAGGCAGCTGACCGAGGCTCTTGAGGCTTCCAGGGTTGTTCCCACAATGGCGGCAGAGGATGGGGTGCAGGGTCTTGGCCCTCCTGGGCAGCTCACTGAAGCTTCCAAGACTTCCTAGGTCTCAGAGTCATTTCTGCATTGTTAGTAGGAGGTGGAGCATGGGGGAAATTTTGATATAAACCATAAAATTGTGCCCCTGGCTCCCCAAAACTCATGTGCATCTTTTTGTACAAAATGCATTTAGTCTATTTGTAAGAGCTGCCAAAGTCCTAATAGTTTCAGCATGGCTGAGAAGTCCGAATCCAAAGTCTCTGAGACTTAAACCAAACTCTTAGCTGTGAAGCCCCTGTAAAAATGAAAAGAAAGTTAAACTCTTCCAAGACACAGTGGTACAGGATAAACATTTGCTTTCTAAAAGGCAGAAATAGAATGACAGAAAGAAATGAGACCAAAACAATACCGAAATCCAGCAGGGCAAACATTAAATTCCATAGTTCAGTGTCCAGCACCCAGGACAATCTGTGGCGTGATGTGCTCTAAACCATTTCTGTAGCCCTGCCCCTATGGCACTGTAGGTGATTACAGCTCTCACTGCTTCTCTCTTGATCTGGCTTTGTTCACTCCTTGAGGTTTTCCTCAGATAATCCATGTTCTTGCTTTTTCCAATATCTTGGGGTCTCCATAGTATTTTACGCTTCCCTCTCACAGCTTCGTGAACTGCTCTCTCAGGAGCACATTGCTTAGTCTCCCAGGCTTTCTTCTGAAATCTGAGTGGAAGCCTTCCTAAACCCACAACCCTTGCATTCTGCATGCATGCAAAACTAGCACCACGTGTGTGGTACCAAGGTCTGCCACGAACAGGAGTGGTAGCTGAACCCTTTGCATCTTTCTGGTAGTTGCAGAGGCCACTGAATGCCTGGATGGGTGAGCAAGTTGACCTAAAGCCCAACAAATCAATTCCTATCCTTTTGGCTGTCCTAATTCTGGAGTATGGTGCCCTGAGCCAAAGTCTTTCACTTTCTCAATTTTGAGCCTTCAAAGGATGGAGGTCCTGCTGGTTCCTGTGATGCCCTCAGGCTGTCTTTTCCGTTATCCTGGTCCAAAGTATATGGATTCATTTTGATGATGATTTCTTCAGCAGCTAAGATCTTGTCTGCTCTGTCTGTACAGACCCCAGCTTTACCAGAGATTCCCTTTTAGCCAAACTCAAAAGTTTTAAAATCATTCTGCTTGCACATTTGCTTTTGATTCTCAATGTAGAGCTGGCAAAAGCCACCAACAGTAGCCATACCACTGTCTCAACATTAGACTGCCTTTGAATTTCTTCCACTAGATTAATTAGTCCTCCTTAATGTTAGCCTGCAGTGTCTCCGCACATGAACAAAATATAGACAGATTTTCAACCAGAGCATAACACTCATGGCCTGAAGTCCAACTGTCAACACAGTTCTTGTTCCCAGCTGAACACTCCTAAGCCTGGTCTTATTGGCAGCATTTCTATCAGCATTCCGGTTTTCTAAGCTCTGAACAGCATATCCCATCAAGCTCAACTTACAGCATTCTAGGGCTGCTTCTTCAACCAGCATTTCCAAACCTTTCCAAACTCTTCCCACAAGCCAGTTCCAAAGGCTTCTGAACTACATAGCTAGGTAGTGTTGCAGCATAGACCCCACTTCTCTGCTACCAAAATCTTAGTTACTTTCTCATTGTTGGGAAAAAATACCTGATACCCACAGTTTAAAGGAAGAAAGCTTATTTAGGCTCACAGTTTGTAGGGATTTCAGTCTACAGTCCATTGGCTCCAAGGCAGGGGGCCATGTTAGAGGAGAAAGAGTTTATGACGTGGTAAGATGTACTGAGGGAGCAAGGGAGTAGGAAGAATATATCTTCCAGATCATATCCACAGCAACCCACCTCTTCCAACCAGGCTTCACCTCTCAGCATCATACCCAGCTGTAAGCCAATCAGTGTCACACACCAATCATCTAGTATCACACACCCATGATATGGCTACCTCTCCAAATCCCCTCCTATAAGCACATGTGGCTTTGGAGGACATTTTAGATACAAACTATAACACCATGACATGTAAGACAGTGAAGAATGATGGTTGAGAACACGGAATCTTGAATGTAACTGCCTGGTGGGTTCAAATCCTAGCTGTGTGTCTTACTAACCTGTGACCTTCAGCTACTTTTCTAATCTAAGTATTAGATCCTTCAGCTGTAAAGTGACAGATGGTATCCATGACATAGAATTGTAATGATCAAGGGGATAGTGCATTTAAATCTCATAACACAGTGTCCAGAATGTAAGTACAATGTAA